GACCCATAAAGTTTTCCATACAATGGGCTAAGATTTGAGAAAGCCAATATAGACCATTATCGATGAGGGAGCAGAAAAACAAATACCTGTTTGAATAAATATTACAGTATTTAGTTAGGTTTATTGTCTTTTGCTTTATTCTCAATTACAGCTTTACTCTTAAAATATTTTGGGTACTTGTGATGCAAAATTGATTTTTCATTTTTTTTAAAAAAGGTAAATTGTAAAATCTTTTTTAAAAAACTAATTTGGGAGGAAATAATACTTTCCTCACAAATTAGTGAGGACTAAATAATGATTAGTTACAGTATTTTACAGAATGTTTTTGCACTTTATGTTTAATACTGCCATACAGGTATGTTTAAAAAATGGACACTCAGATCAAGATTTAACTATTATAGAATCACTTAAGTACCTGAATAACTACCACTTTCCTTTTCTTGAAAGTAGATTTTTTTTTTTGCATAAACAAAGTTATAGCAGTAAACATGAAATAAAATAAAATGCTGGAAAACAATTAAACAAAAAAACTCCTGTCTTTGGCACAGGCATGTGAATGTTGTTCTGTGCATATGTTGCGTTTGGCTTCATTAGGCATGGCTCCGTATTAGTTTTGGCAGGTAAAAATACTGTACATCACAAAACAAGCTGCTGCCTGTTATAAAACACAGGGAAAATGGTGAAACTTTTCATGTACAGTTTCACGTTTATACTCTAACCTGCACGTTTGGGCCTAGAAGCCCCAAAGTGCTGGTACAGCTGCTTAAACCTTACTGGAATAGACAAGAACCATTTAAATGGTAGAAGATAAAATACTTCTTTTAAACTGCCAGGCTCTCTTTGTATTACAATTATTTTTTCCAACTTCCCAAAACGTTCAAATGTCAGTAAAAATTTAGGGCTCTTACAGTTTTCCTTCACTTCTGAGCACACTGACATCCCTGCTTTATTTGATAGCTTCCCCTATGTACATACTGTACACAAACCATTAAAATCTCTATGAATATGAATGTAATACATTATGCAATAAAGAATAGTGCTTTACATCTTGCAGCATAATATGGCTCTCTCTGCAACGTCAAAATGTTTATTTGCAATACAAATACACGGGGCACATATCTTGCTGTTCTATGGAGCATTTAATTGCAAAGATCCTCTCACAAAATGATGGAATAACAATAATGCATGTAGAAGGCTCTGCAGAACCTCACCAAATTACGCATTTTAACTTAACCCGGGTAGAAGTGAAATGTGTCAACAGAAATTCGAGTTTTGTTTTCCGTCAATCAAGAGTCTGAAAAAATCAAGTGATTTGACTTGTGATTTTTGACTGTAGGAACTACTTTCCAAAACAATTACCTCCCTGCACTCATCACGGACACACATTGGACATAGCAGCTGACACCGTCGCTCCTTTAGGCTGTTTTAAAACACATTAATTCCTTTCACATTTCAGCTTTTCTGTTGCTCAGTGTTGCACCTTCTGTTTTATAAATTTGTGTGATTAACCTTTTACTTCCCCTGTTGTCAAACGGAGAAAAAAACCGAAGGGACCAAAGGAAATATTTGTGGCTTCTGTTTTTTTTCAGCAGACAGAATTTTAGGAAAGACTGCTTTTGTAAATGCAAATCGAGCACCGGTTACGAATTATCTTCCTCAAGAAGTTGTGCTGTATGTTGTTCTGTTAAGAAATCACGCATTTGGGCTTTATTCCTTTCTGTGCTGTTGAAGCTTTTTTGAAAGGGCAGTACTTTAAACTGTTTCTGTCATGCGGAGCTTTAATGTGAGTGAATATTTCTGTTGTATAATTTGACTGAATTGTTTTTGCATATCCAAATGCCTTAGAACCTATTGTTGGCTGAGCTTTATTTTTCCATTCTTGTGCTTTGTGAAACACTGTTTAGTAAGTTTGAAAAAGTCATACTTTACTTATTGCTTGTCTTTATTTGAATATTTTAATCTGGGTTAAAAATTATTTTATCCTATGTTTCAGAACATCTGCATTCCCCCTTTTTAACATCTGGTAAGGAAGTTGGTCTGAACCCAGTAACAGCATCGTGTGTCATGTGGACTATAAGGTTTTCTTTTTCCTTCTTTCATTCAGCTTGCTTTGTTAACCTGGGTTTCGATTGTTGAAGGCTGTTTTTTCTTAAATACTCACAGTTAACCAAACCTCCTTTCTTGCCTCTGCTTGGAGCCCATCCAGGGGATTGTAAATTCAATTTGTGTGTTCATTACATTTGTAATAATAGATTGCACTATTATGCAGAAAGTAATGATCAAGCATTATATACTGGTATCATTTCATAACACTATATTGGAATTCCAAATATCCACTCCTAAATGAAAAAGATTATAATCATGACCCCTGTTTGCTGGCATTGTTATTCCTAACTACTCGTTTAAGCACATTTATTTTTTTACTGGAGTTGATTTCCAAGGATTAGTGGATATGGAGAGCAGTGTGTGTACTTTCAGAATTCATTCTGTAGCAATATTTTCTAAACTTTGATCTGGTAGTTAAGTACAGATTTACAATACGGATGACAAAGTAACTCAAATATTAATATTTCATAAGGAAGTTGGAAAATCACCATGGCTTCTATGACACTCACTTCTGGCCAGAGTCTGCAGAGAATCTACTTTGGACAAACTGGAGAACACTTGAATTTACAGTCATTATCACTGTGAAATAAAAGATGTCTGTTTCTAAGTGGGTTCAAGCCTGCCAGCTTCCTTAAATACATCTCTACATTTTCACAAGTTGATGAAGAAATTAATGCTACTAGACACATACACATATCAGTCACATTGAGGGTTTATTAAATAGATATAATATACAATATTTGCACATTACCTATCAAGTTATCTAAAGACATCCGAAGCATATAGGAGCATTTATTGCTTAAACAAACAATATTTCTTTTGTAAAAGCTATCAAAAAGTTGTTTTTGCTAATTATTTTTTGCTAAGCATCATTTCTGGAACTCAGCTCTTCCTGGGATGTTAAAAAATGACAGTTCGCAAAGCAGGGCATAAATTTTTCAGCAGCTATAATACACATTGTTAAATATTTCAATGCGACTGAATGACTGTTGATTTAGGAAAGCATTGATCAGTGCTTTCCAATAAAGGTAATTTTTGATCTTTCTCCTCTGTGCCATAGCAGTGGGCATTGCCATCTGTCGCTATGGCAACCTATGTGGGTCTCTAGAGAAGACTGGCTGGCGCCTGACCGTTAACATACTGGAGTGCCAGATTCCCAATACAGCACACAGCAACATGCCATATGGTCCATCCACATACATTGTGAAGCTTTTATTCACAATAAATGTTTGGGGCTGCACAAGGCTGATATTCACACTCTCCCATTCCTTCGGCCTTGTTTCGTGCTACACCTTTGTTACCAGGGCTGCTCACAGTATCATTTAGACAGTCCCAGGGAGTGATGTAGCTACTACATTTCATATTTATCTCCTAGAACAGCCTCACAGCTTGAAGAAATACTGTGGCATCCTTTTTTTAGACATTTCAAAAGATCGCAAATGTCAATTGTTAAATCCCAGGTTGGAAGGGTTCTGTTAAATCGCACGGTTGTACACTGCAGCGAAATGTGCTTTATCTAATTTTTATTCCATTTTTTTCCCCCAATTGAATGTCTGTTCTGATCATCTCTTACTTTCTAAAAAGTGCAAGCTGCAGAGCTTATGTGCTCCCAGACACACAAAGAGGGAAGTGTGTAGAAGCACTACTAAAAAAAGGAGTGCAGTGTTGAAAAGATTGTCCAGATTACACAAAAAGAACCAGAAACAAGTGTTTTTTTATAAGGAAAATTAATTCAGAGTGACAAGGATACAAAAAGGGTGCAGAAGGAATGGGGGAGGAGTGAGTCACGAATCATAAACAGATTGAGAAACACAAATCAAAGACAAAAGGCAGAATTCAAATGCCACCTAACAGTTGGGCCAGAGGATCCAAAATGACACTTCAGGCCTTTTTTATGATCCTGTTTTTTTTTTCCCAAACCGAAGTTGGAAGTATTTTGTGGAAATTCAACTTTAATCTTATGTCTTCTTAGTTCCACATAGTGGTAAGAAAATACGGCTAACATTTACCCATGAACAACAAAAACTGTACAGGAAAAGAATGAGGTGCATTCATGATTCATAATACCCTGCTCAATGTTCACCACCTGTGACGGGTCGTCACATTGCACGAGGTCATGTCAAAGATTCTAAGAGGTTGTAGCTTTTCTTTCAGTCCTTTAAAAAAAAACCTACAAAGGTGCTGTGCAATCTTGGAAACTGTATTTTCAGGCTTGTCTGTCAGCAACCTGACACACCTGCCAACACTGTAAGCTTATATTAAGAATTTATATATAAAAAAATGGTACATCTAACCCATTGCTACATTTGAATATAATAATTTATTTCTGAATTATTGTAATTTGAATGTATATTGAATATTAACCTGCATAAATGCTTGCTGTTAAGGTGTGTTAGAAATTAGGACTTATAAGCAACAATAGAAGTAGAAACTTTAAAATTACTTTCAATATATAAAACTTTTAATACTGCATGTAGGTATAATTTTTACTAATATAGATAACTCTTTGTTTTGCTTTGGCTTGGTTGACTTTCACTCATTTCAAGATATATTGCAATATGATGACCCCTACTGTCATGTAAAGGAGTAGCAACAAGCCAAATGGGTTTCTATGATCAGCTAGTTATATCGGTGAATTTTCCACCTGCACCCAAAGAATGACAAGTTTTTAAGGTCTAGCGTGTGCATTGTGAACCTTTGTGAACTAAGAGTAAACCTGTACCAAGTATCCTAAAGCTGATGATCTAGAACTTAAAACTATGTATAAATGTAATATCAAATTCACCGACTAAAAATATTTCATTAAATGACAGTAGTAAATACCTGAATATTTATGCTCGTGTTATTGAGATAGGAGTTAGTATGTGTTTTTGTGCAGTCAAAAAGGGACATTGTTACATTTAACAAAATATATATTTTATTTAGAGTTCAACAAAATTTGCTTACAAATAGAAATGATTTGCAACCAAAAATAATGGTACTTAAACATTTTATAAATGTTTCGAAATACATATTTACAATTTTAAAATAACAGTAACTTTATGTTCTCCTCCCCAAAATCTTTACACCCAAGTTATGCAGAGATTTTACCATGTGACTCATCGTTTTAGAAGACTAAGTAAATGTTAATTCCCCGTTGTTGAGTCCTCTTCAGGTGTCACTTTAGAGCATGGAATTAACCTCAACTTGCTTCCTAACAGCCCAAACACTGATATAGTTCCCTACTCAAAGCATTTTAGAAGACTGCTATGTAACAGGCTAATAGTGAATTAAATAGATTTGCACAGATTTATTTTTAACTAAATTGCATCTCAGATGATACTGGAGATTCCTGCCATCAGACAAAATCTCTTGTTGTTAAGGAAATCAGAATGTCTCTAGGTAAACCAGTGTTGGTATAATAGAATTAGACAATTTATATAGTACAATATAAACTCTGAAGGCGAGCTACAGTTGAAGTCCTGCTTCCAGAAGACAGACATTGTACAAAGCAAGCTTTATCTAGTCATTAAAAAAAGTTCAAATGAAATGTAATGTATTTTATTACTATAATTATTCACTGTAATTTATTCATTTCTTCATTGTAATTAACATGCAATCTACAGTCGGCAAAATTTTTTAGCAGATATTCGGAAACAGTGACAAATTAAATTATAGTCTACATGTAGGTTTTTTTGCCGGTGTTTTTCAGATTCCGCGAAGAATACTGAAACATATGTTTTATTATGTATATTGACCCATAAGGCTTTGAAAATAATAGTTTAGCCAGAATAAAAAATTATAAACACATTTCTAAGAGCTATCTGCGCTGTAAAGAGAAAATTACAGAAAGATATAAAATACAACAGATTATAACCTAAAAACATTTCAAAACAAATTCATCATCACACAGGATAAATTCAGATTTTTCCTCTAAAGTGAGGACTAGGGTCTTACCTCTGTGTTGACAAATGAATAATTTGTCACAGAAACTAACACATAACAATGGCTCAGAAATGAAAACATAAGAAAGACTGCAATAAGAAAAGGCCATTTGACCCATTTGGTTGCTAGTAGGTAGCTGATCTAAGGGTCTCGTCAAGCTCTATCTTGAAATAAGCAATGGAATGGACTTCAACAGTGTGGCTAAATACATCCACCTGTGTATTCTTAGTTTAAATGTCAACATCAATGATTTTCTGCAACTTACTCAGTTTTTTAAATATTTAAATATTTTAGAATAATAAATGGCTTAAAGAAACAATCCTAATAAATATCCATAGCATTCTATGGCTTCCTTGAACTATTGTCATCTTATAACCTAACATTGATTGAACATTATGTTTAGTTTTAAAACAAGGTATGACAACATATATATTCTATTACAGCATTTTACAATTTAATACTGCCATGAAAAAAAATAATTCAATATCAAATAATATAATAGGATAATTATTATTTTAATATAAATATACTTCTACAAAACATAAGTATTTTTCTATACATGGCGTGATTTTAAAAACTACATGCAATTGAGAAAAACAATCCTTTCTAGTGTCTATATATACGAAAAACCTTTTAGATTCTTTTGCATTGCTATGCAGCCATTGTGTACCATTACACAGTCCTTCTAGACAGATATAAACGCTCATTCACTTTTTTTAACCTGATCCAGCGTGCCTGACTCAAATTCTCTACACTATGGATCAGAGCCTGGAGCAGTGTTCTAATTTGTCCTGTCACGGTCCACCTGCTTTTATTTTCCATAAAAGCAACTGAACAAGGATGTCAGACTAACAGTGTAGCTGGAAGAATAAGCATGTTGGAAAATGTGAGACTATGGGTGTGCAGTTCATTGGCTTCTTGATCCTAGACAACGCAAATAGAACTGATGCTAGACTATGACAAATACTTCCTCTAGGCTGCAGTCGATAATGTTGGTGAATTGAAACTTAATGCCCTAGCTACTTCATGTTGTAACATTCCAGTCTTTGGCATGCCTGAAGCATGTTCCCCATTTCTTTCATTGAGCTGTGGCACTGTACTGTATAGTGTGCTTAAAACTGGCAAACCCTTATCCACTCATCGATTTTACACGAGCAAAACGTCCAGGAATATGTTTTTACCCAGTGTGTTTCATCCGTCAGGATGTGACAAGTAGTTCACAAAGGACATGTGCACTTTTTCTCATTGAATATCATCACCTTATAATGTCTTAGACAGTTAGATAAATTGGGTAGTGTTGCACCTTTCATTAGGGGTTACGAGATTTGAACAGGCGTGAATTTACTGTAGTTAGTGTGGATACTTATTTCTGTTTAATCCACTCCCCTTTACTAAGTAGAGTGAAGTTTTTTCTTATAATAAAAACACTGTCTTATGACACCTGAGACAATTTGGAAATTTCTATTCTGTCAACTCTGTCATCATAAGGACGTACAGTAGCAGAACTCAGGCTGAATTATATGTTTTTTTTCTTGTTTCAACTTTTGTGACAGAACAAGGCAATTTAAAGAACAACTTCACTTCCTCATACTCCTATTCCTGGTGCTCTTACTATGCCATCATAAATCTTTTCCCGTTTCCCAATTCCATGTGTGTGAGAGCCATTACAGAGGACAAATACACATAAGCAGGAAAGCACGTACTGTATACCTATCTGTCTAGGATACTAGATGAAAAGCTTTACTGCTTTGCTAACTTTGAAGTCATGCCTTACCCCATCTTCACAGTGATGATAAGGTTGCTCCCTGCATTAATAATCTAACAAATTCTTTATTTAAGATGACGGCCTTACATTTAATGGAATGTTCATCTATTTGGTGCACAATAAATAGGTACATGTTCTCAGATATATCAAGTAATTTCTTTGGTCTTCCTCACTTGGATTCATTGCACATGAGTTCAAAATCCTGATCTAAAAAAAAATACTTTCAGACAACATCCACTTTAGAGCAAAATATTGCTGACAAGGATTGAAGCTTGATAAGGACAGACGCTGACAAAGCCTAAAACTGTTCCAGCGCGCATTTCCTCATGAAAGAATGGCCAGTTTTGAACAAGACCTGTATTAGAAACAGCTAAATCCGGTAAACATTTAACTGTGCGTATATATTAAATTGATTGAGATTAATTTTATTTGTGATCCATTTAGACATTTTTACTTATGCTTACAAAGCTAAAGGTATTCATTTACTGGGTAGGTTCCTTCTGCAGGAGGTGTTTTAATAGGAAGATAAAGGGTGTTCTTTATGTTCCCCTTTAGTATTTGACAGTCTTTAGGCCCAAGACTTTGCTAGCTCTGTCCCACACACCATCATTGCATTGATAGTACATCTATAAGCTGTAAACTTAATAAACAGTATTGGCAATCTCTTTCAGGTACAAGGTCCATTCCTGAAACATGTGTATGGTAAAGATTGTTCAGTAACAAAAAAGGAAACTGTTTTCAGCCTTGTGGTGCTTTAAAGACCACTGAAAATGAACAACTAAGGCCAAAAACTCCCAGACGCCTGTTGTATTTGCAATGTCATGGAGAGGTGCACTTGGCTCCAAACTTGTTCATACCCCTGATACAACTCTTGCAGTTTTTATGGTTCATTGATTTTTGCACTTGCATTGTTTTTTTACTGAAGCCAGCTTTCAGTTGCAGCATATCAAGCGGAAGACTAAATTTGGAGCCAACTGCTTGTGCTTCCCTCAGATGTGGATACTGTGGTATTTTGACTTGCTGGTCTCTATGTCCACTCGCCTGGCCTCAGCAAACATCAGGAACATTCCCAGCCCCAGCAGATTCACCACTGAGATCAGGGCGAAAACGGAGGCCCAGGAGTTGGTGGTTTCAATGAGGTATCCGGCGAAATACACCATAATCACGCCTACAGGGAAGCAAGACAAAAAACGAACAGCACGGTAACGATTGCTACTCAGTGCAGTGCTTCTCACATCTGGTCCTGGAATACACAGGCCTCCTCTGGTATGTGTTCTAGCTTTTCAAAGGTAAAGTTACTGAACCCTTAATTTAATCAACTGCTTGTCTTTAAAAAGTTCTCTGCATTCAAGTCTTGGTTTGAGAACCAAGTACGTGTGTAGATTCTAGGAAACAGAGCAACCACATACTGTATATCTCAACATTGTTTCCCAAACTGTCTCTCCTGCAGGTTCTGAAACAAGACCTGACAGATTATAAATAAAGTGGCGAATATAAATGTGGGAATGACACAGGTGTACTCCAGAACCAGAACTGTGAAAGGCCTAGCTCGAAACCAGACATGATTGGTTGTATTTGGTTTTGAGCTGTTACCTTTTTTTTTTTTCTATTTATACTGAGATAAACCTTCTTCTGCTATAGTTCTTCACTGTAACTCTTAGGTGCTGCTCTACAATTACCTCGCAGGCTTAATTCACACAGATGGTCAGATTTCTTGGCATGTTCAACTTTTGTTAACTGTTAAGCTAAATGTTCAAGAAGTCTGTTTGGTCATGCTGTAAAACAAGTTGTGTTTTGGATAATCACTGTGATAACAAAATCCACACAAGCCCTAAAATGCAGTAAAAGCTTTGCAATTACATTGTGTAATACACTAAGTTTAAGCAGACAAATTAAAATTCTGACTTGTATGTATTGTCACATTAACGTTAAGGCTAAACATCACTGCATCATGGTGTTCAACAGATGTCAATATACAGATAGGTCTTTCAGTTTTTTCTTACCTGTAAATGCTCCACATGTATTCATTACACCTATAATGAAACAGCAAAATATTAACATCATAATATTAAAATAAACTATTTTTTTCCAGCAGTTACACATTCATGTGCTTCATCCCCAAGTTTATACAAGATATAAATATATAATGATATACTGTAGTTGTGATATAATGACTTTGTATCAATCACACAAAGGTGATCATGGTTGAATGAATTTCTGTGCATTGTTGTGCTTGTTATGCTTGTTAAAGCCTTATGTCCTCAAAGTGTTATGTTTTTTATAGAAACAATCTAAGCGACGCTCTAAATCAGGACCAGCAATTTTGAGCAATGCAGTGAGGTGAAAAAAAGTAAAGTACAGGACTTACCAAACAAGGATCCAGCACAAGAGGGCGCCAAATCCTGCACATTTACAGAGACCCCACTGTGGTAGGACATAACATATTATTTTATTTTATCATGAGTGATTGATGGCAGGTGTGAATTATATTAAAATGTGATTGCTGCAGGCTTGTGCTAAGGAAGAGCTATAACAGAACATATCAGGAGTTTAAACTGGAACTATTACATGTACTTCTTCATGAGACAGTTTACGTTTCCTATAAACATTCTGTAGCTTTAAATAAAGTATTTCCCCAGCTCCTAAATGTTTTTTACTCTGCTAAAAAAAACAGGTGCACATATAAAAAACAAAGCCATTGCATGGCAGAGATAAGGCTACTGTAAATACCTGTGGCTGAATGTGGTGAGTCCCATTGTAGCAGATACAAAGGCAATGGCCATAGGAAAGGTGGTTGTGCCACACAAGAGCAGGGTGAATACACTTGAAACTCCCATTGAAAAGAACTAGGAAGCAGAATAAAAATACAAACTGTGACCATGCTGCAGTATGCTAGTGCACAGGGACTGTTCTATTGTACTGAGTGGAACAATACACTGCATCATATCAGTAAATGTTTTAGAGTCATATTGCTTCCAAAATCATATACCATGTAATGATACGCAATACAAACATGAGCAAATTTGGAAAAAAAAAAACATTTTTTCAACTGCTACTTGTGTCTTCAGGTCAAACAACAACAAACAAAACATTGAAACAACTGAGTATCTTTGCAAGTTTGCAGACTAAGTGATTGACTGATACTCAGCAGGAAGAGCTATAACCTTCTCATCTTTCTGACACACATTTTCTTAAAGCTCAGTACTTGATACTTCAAACCCTTGATGGCTATAATGGTAGCTTTTCCCAGATGTTTATGAAGGGAAAAAAAAAAAAGAGCGTGGGCAATCAAATTGTGATCTTCGGTATATTAAAACATTGTCTACTAATTTGTTATTTAGCTACAAGGCATGTAAAAACTCCTATATGAATGTTGATTTAGCAGAGAAACAAAGCACACCTACCTGCATTAATTTCCTTACTTGGGCGGTATCAAACCCTACAACAGAAACGCAAGTTAGTACGAAGCGGAAAATGACTTGAAGCATTCAAAGGCCGGGATTTCCTCTACATGAACCTGTAATCTGGGAAGTAAGCACTACTGCATTTTGAAAGTAAGTACTTCAAAATCAAATGAGGGCAGCTGTATTCATCTGAAAAAGACCAGAAAACAGGCTCTCCTAGTGTTGCAATTGCTTGATGTGAGGAAATTCAGGCTGCACTCAGCAGAAGGCATCAACTCAGCAGCGTCCCAGTGGACCGAACGAAAGCTGTAGGGTTTTATGTCACGTGTCAGTGAAACGCACACCTTGGAAGTAAAAAAAGAGACCATTTACCTTGCTTTATGAGGTGATCAGAAAGACAGCCACTGAACAGGGAAGATGGGATGGCAACAAACCAGGGGATAACATTAAAAATCCAGCCCTGTTGACAAGAAAAATCAAATCTGAAGTTTTCCAAAGATTTCAGGGTCAATACTATTTGCATATTAATAGTAAATAATTATGGTTATTTAACATACTAATATTCTCATCAAAATTCACACCCAGGTGCAGGGTATTTATGTACAGTTTTAATTTAATTAAATCCTTTAAATGCTCTACCTTATTCACAAACCAGATTTTATGTAAACTTGTATAATATTCATGTTATGGAATTATTTTAACATTATTTAAATGTTATGTTCCTCAGCACAATTGCAATCAACATCATGAGGGAAATCAAAAGCACAGTTAATTCATTTTTCAAAGCATAACAACATGGCTTGGAGACCTCTAGTGGTCGTCTGGATATTATGGAGCAATGGTTTACATAGGACATTCAGTCACATTCTTAAATTCAGATGTACTTTTATTGTGTGGGGATCCTGGAATCCTTTGCTGTCCTGTAAAACCAGTCCATTTCTGGTCTGCATTCTATATGCCACCACTGTTTCAACTGTCTAGAACTGCAATGTTTCAATAAAACATTTCTTCAGCAGTAGAGAAGCGGGTAAAGTCCAGACCAGGGCCATGGCAACCTCCTGGTTTCTGTGCTGATAAGCGGACTATACAGTGACTGCCCTGACTGGGATATCGGGATTCGCATGGATACACATGGATTTCTTCCCTCCCCCTATTCCCCACTCATACAGCTGGGTGGACCGGAGCAACTGGGGTGAAGTACCCAGCAGTGGGGTCTGCAGTGGGGCTTCGAACCCACGACCTGCCAGTTAAGAATGCAAACATTTACCCAGTACTCTATGCCACCTCCATTTCAACAGTAATAAAGGCAAAACCTAATTTCCTACTCACTGTTCATGTTATTATTAGTTCTAAGGAAACAAACTGTGCCATTAACAACAAAAAAATGTGTTTTATTTACATACTGAGAAGTAATAAAATGAGTATTTGAACCAACTGGGCCAAAACCACCTTGAACAGCTTTACATGAATTTGTCCTGTTCATCTTAACTTCAGCATGGTTCTCTATAAGAGATGACCATCTTTCATCGAGTCAAATTATTCTGAGAGAATTACCTTAGAGTCTGGAAAGGTGTCTTTGAAGAACGTTGGTAGCCATGACAGCAGTGTGAAAAAGGTGCTTGCTGTACAGAGATGAGTAATGATCACTGCCCTGGGAACACAAACAAAGAGGCTTTTATTAGAAGTCAAACAAAGCCTTTCAACCTCATCTCTACCAATAGACCTGGTAGAGGTACTGTATAGGAATAATCTGCACCCGAAACACTCATTGTATGGCTGCAACCTGAACCCACCACACCGTAAATGTAAGTAAAGGACTGCTAAGTAACAGTCATTTTACTTCCTGAGGGAAAAAGTGAGTTTTATCTCTGGGTACAGAGCACAATAATTTCACTGTCAATGACCTCTATGCAAAACTTAGAAGCAACTGTCATGTTGCCTCTGAAATGTTTTAATAGCCCTAATCCTTAGCCTTATTTTAAGGCTTTAGTAACATTTAGAGCTAATAAATGAAGGAATAACAAATACTTAAGACTTATGAAAAAATATTTAAAAGCACATTTCTAAATGATTTACTAAATTATTAATTATTGCACCACATTTCAAATAATTCTAATCTGCCCTAAATTACTAAATTACACATATCTGACTGCAAACAAAGTTAACTTCTTTTTCATCGAGGAGCCGAAAAAGACACAAAGTGGTAAACCATACGTTTTGTGGCCAGAACAAAATTAAATATAACAAAAAAATGTTTTTCAAAGACAACGGCGGTCACGTTTTCCTCCCTCAAATGACATACCACACTGAGGGCTGTCTGAACAGTCGAAGCCAATGCCTCTTTGACATTTTGGACTGTGCGACTCCATTCCCGAAGGACTCTAGTAAGATGACAGGACCTGCAAATATGCAAGGACACAAAAATTATTTTAAGGCTTTGGCGTCATCCATAATTGAAGAAATAGAAAAACAAAGATATACAGTATAGGATCAAGTGTGAATAAGCGGTAGAGCAGAGCTGCTTCTATAGAAAAGTCCCTTTGATATTTTTAACATGGCTTTACCTTCTCCTTTTAAGAGGTATTTCCACATGCAGTAGGCCCAGAGAACAGCGGACAGACCAGAAACATAAAAAACACTTTCCCAGCCATACAGGTCCAGTATTAGGGATCCTGCACCTCCAATCACTAAGGTCCTGCAAGGAAGAGCATTCATCCTATTAAGGTCTAAAAGAAATTTAGAACAACAATCAAAATATTTGCTACCATCTTCTGCACTTTGGAAAAAGAAGATCTCAGCAGGTTTTAGAATTGCTGCCTTAAGAGTTCTGCCTTGTCTGCACCGCTGAGACTTCATTTGATGAAACACTGGAGAATGTCACAATGCTTAACTCATTGATACGTAAAGTAGGCTCAGATCGCAGACTCACACATACGACCCAGCCCACTGCTTTGTTTCTGGGATTCACCAAACAGTGGCACACCATCTGTTGAACATCGCTGGGATAGACTGGACATTAGTTAACCAGGGTTATTGGGCACACAACGTGTATGACATGTTTGGTGAGCTGGGAGAGTATCAGGAAATCTAGCGCATGAGTTGAGTCCTACACAACCAGCTATTCCCAACTGGTAGGAAAATCAAATAACTGAGTTCAAAGGGTTTGTATAAATAAGGTGAGGTAATAATGGACTTTTGAGTTGCTCAACCAGCAGAAGAGTTTGATCAAAGACTCAAGTGAGCCATTTAGCCTGGACTAGACTTACAACATTTGATCATTCAAAAATGAGCACACTCCATTGACAGGGGGAGGAGGAGGGGGATGCTGGTGGTATTTGTACCAGTATCTATTAAATCATGTACCTGTTCACAGCAAAGACTGTTGGGAAAAACAGTAAGGGAAAAAAAACACAAAGTATGCTAACCCCAGCCTGGACATCACTTCACAGGAAAGGATGAGCAGTACCGGGTTTGGAAAGCAAAAGCCAAGACAATTAACCATTTCAAACTGAAATTCCATAAATGAAATTCCATAAATAACACAATTAATGATTACAAATATAAAAGATAAAATAAAATGTTTACAGAATTATGGGAGAACTGCAAAGTGGTATGGGGATATCACAATAGTCAGAGCAGAAAATAAACATATTTCTGACTAATGAGGATGTGCATTCTGAAGTACTTACCCTAAGTAAGAACCACTGCCCACTGTGCTCATTAGGAAGCCTCTCTCACTCTCCGTCACCTTCTGAGAGCAAAGGCTCGCCAGAGATGGGTAATGAACTCCTAGGAACAATGTTACAAAAGAGACAGATCCCACTGAGCATTGCATACAGAGCAAAACAACTTGATGCAAGTCATCTTGATCTTTATCAATATGTGAATATACAGGATGTTGCAAAAGCTTAACATAGCAACTACAAGACATTGGTGAGCCGGAGAAAGATGATTTAACGATAAAGAGAACAGAACTACAATAATGGGCTTGAGATGGCCTGTGTAAAACACAAAGGCTTTTTTAATTGTGAGTAAAACTATACTGTAGCTCTGACTGACATGGAAAAGAAACCATGCATACATCTATCTTCTAACTGCCTCTTCCAATTCAGGGTCTGGGGTAGCTGGGCGCAAGGCAGGGTGCACCCTGGTTGGAATGTCATTGCGGGGCACATGAACATGCACACACTCACAGCACGGCCAGTTTTCCCAGAAGCCAATTCATCTTCCAGTAAGTTTCTGGACAGTGGGAGGTATCCCGAGCACCTGGAGGAAACCTATGCAAACGTGGGGAGAACGTACAAACTCCACGCAGATAGCACGCGAGGTCTGGGATTGAACCCCAGTGCTGTGACGCAGCAGTGCTAACCACTACAACCCTGTGCAGCCCCAGAGACTCATCATACTAAATCGCCCCAAAAATCATCTAGTTGATATTGCACTCTTTCTGTTCCAGCCTCCAAAGTCACCCCCACCCGTCTGCACTGTGCGGCTCCCCACCTTGCAGCAGACCCATGAGAAACCTGGAGAGGGTCATGGACACTATGGGCCGGGAGCAGAGGTGAGCCAGGACAGGAGTGAAGGCCGTCATCGACCCCCAGGCTGCAGCGGACAACAGGACGACCTTCTCCCCTCCGACCCTGCGAGAGATGCGAGGACAGGTAAGTGCCGAGACCTCATCCCAGTATTATTTAAAGATCCTGATAGTACAACCCCCCTCGTCTGCATCCTCACATTTGTGAATTATGTGAAATTAAGCTTCAAAAGCAACAAATGTCCAAGGGGTTTGAGGAAGCACATTTTTTAAAATTCTCAAATGATTTAAAGAACAAACTCGGAGTGATACATTACATAACAGTGCAACAGGCACTAAAAGCTGCACCTGCCTCTTTTGCAAACAACAGGGTAATCAGGGAGTAGACTGCTGAGCATATGGAAAATCCTCATGAAGATAAGGGGTGGGTGGTATGCCCAGTTTTAAAGTCTGCTGCATTTTAGCTCCAGTTATATAATTCTGAAAATGTTCATCTTGCTGATATTTAGAAATCTGATAGGTTCAGAATTATTGATCTTCGATGGTTCAGACGTCCGGTTTATGACGCATCTGAGGTCATTGTGGCCAATAAAAAAATGCGGGAGTCCTCTTCCCTTTTTTTCCCCGTGAAAACAAATGTCAATGCTGGAATATTTTTTTAACTTATTTTTGTCATTTTATTTTGTTTTAAGAAGTATTACATATTTACGTTTTTAAGAATTTTATTTGAAGTATCACATATTTACTTATTTAATTCACGTTCATAAGTTTATTGTATTGTTTCAGTTCAGAAAAATAAAAATGTTCTTAAAATGTTCCACCGTCTACTTCAGTTCAATGTGAAATTTCACAAATACCTAATAATTAACCCCAACCAATAAAAACTTACCATCCAAGTCTTGTACTCCTTTTAAAGCATGTGCTATTGAAATTCTGAGAAACAATTCTGTACCGTGATGTATATCGTTACCGTCCAAAGTAAAATTATACCTTGGTGTACATTTTAGGCCATATCGCCCAGCCCTAATGGATATGAATAATACATTTTAAAAAGGCAGTCCACTGAAAAACAGGGTATAACAGAGCACGAGAATAGTAAAGCTTTTTGCAGTCCAGCATTGAATGACACCTTACCTATCACTTATGTAGCCGCCAATGACCTGTGTAAAACAGTAACCCCAAAAAAAGCTGCCCAGAACGATGCCAGACTCCTTTTTGCTCCACTTGAATTGCTCTGCCAAGGAGACAGCGCAGATGGGCATTGCCACCCTGGCGCAGTACAGCAGGCATGTTCCCAGCAGAAGTACTACGGTCCACACTCGAGCTAACGGCCTGCAAGATTCGGAAAAGAAAGATCATGAGAGCACAGAGAGGAAAGTTATATTCTCCAGATCTGCTTCAGAAGCCTGAGCACTGTTCTTGGCAGTCCCCTGTTTGCAAACAAATGCACACAATGTCACATCGATGGAATGGTCTGTTTTTTTTTCTGCTTTCCAAACCAAAACTTATATCTCATCATGAAAATGTATCTATTTTATCAGCTTTTTCTTTGCACTGGGAAGTCTGGCCCCCCATCAGTTCAATTATTTTATAGGGGCCAACACGAGAACAAAACAATATTAGTCAGAATACAAGAGATGAGAATCCGAGCACTACTGCATTTTTAAATTTCTACAAAGAGATGAAAATGATGTACAGGCCTAGGTGCAGATAGGTAAACCGACATGCTGTGTGCTAAAATATAGACCAAATGCCATAATTAAGAGGAATCAAGAAATTCCTTCGTCATCAGTCTTTACTTTTTGCTTGATATCATACATGTAATGTTGAGATAGCACAACAGCTGCAGAGTAGACATTCAATTAAACTCACACAAGTCTAATTTACAAACCTGAAAAAGAACCAAGCTGCTTGTGAATTATGTTAGTACAATGTCAGCTGCCTCAGATAATTCACTGGGCTGTTTGGATTCTAGATTGATGCTCCTTTTGTTTAACAAATTGATTGGCTGCGATCCAAAAGGATGTGTAATTTTTCTGTGTATTTTATAACAGGTGGCATATATGTACCCAGTGAACAGATAGAAACTATTTACATTTATTTGCATCTATGATTCAAGCTCTGAGTAAATTTTACTGCTTTGAAACTGTTAACCTGCTTCTTAATTTCTCTTCAAATAACTTTGGTGTAATAAGTCATATCACATTCACCATAAAATAAGTTGCTTTACATGGAACCCAAGTTTTTAATAATATTTTATTGTTTCATTTTAGAAAGAAAAAACAGAATCCAAACTTCCTGTCACCTCTACCTTAAACGTACCTTAATAGATTGGGAAGTACTGTTTTTGGCGGGTAGTTTGTTTGTTGCATGCATTCGGAAGATCTTCTTAAAATCAAATGACTGCTTTCCTGTCACACAGCAACATTACCAGCTATATTGAATTTGTCCATATATCAGCAGAAAGCTGTTTATTCCTCGTACATTTTGCAGCAACCTGGAACCTACCTAGGGTGCAAGACAGGCTTATAACCTGGACCTACAGTACCTACAACAGACGTCCATCACTTAGTACATACACACAAGCACATAGGAACAGTTTCAAGACACCATTTAACCGAGACAGCATGTCTTTGTACATGCAAGGACAAGGAGAAAAAACCCATGTGAACATAAGCAGAACATGTCCACATCTCCACAAAGAAGGCACTCAAGCCTGGAAGCAAAGGGTTGTGTGGCAACTGGACTAAACCACCACGCCTCCACACCCTTCTTGTTGAAATCATAGCTATGCAATTGTCAAAGTGACCTGGTGACAAGAGGAATTCTAAGCTCCTTGGGCATCTTGACCAGCCGGTGCTATTACCTTCATCACTACTGCTACCCGCCCTTTAAATGATATTGTACATGTTCATAATGAGCGCTAGTGATGCTCAAGCACAAATATACAACAGGGACAAATGCCACATATGTTTATTGTTTTAAACTTTAAAAGAATGTACGCATACCAAATAAATCGGCAATCGGTGTTAGTTTTGTGAAAATAAAAAGGTATTTCTAAATATTAATATATGATCAAAATAGCCCTTACTGCACATTCTAAGTAATATGAACAATTTAATCCATGAAATGATGATAACTGACACATAACTAGAACATTAAAAATTGAAGTACTTTTAAATTGTTTGCGCTTTGTGGCAGTACGGCTCACGTTTACGACAGCGATACTGTAACTAATGACGGCCATTCAGGTAAATTACAAATCGCCCCTACAAGTTCCGTTTTCACTGTCAGCTAGTTTCCAACTGAGTATAAACTGTTAGTACATGTAACGTGTCCACTTATAAAAGATACTGTAACTGTTCCAAGTTGGTAAACATAATCACAACAAATATTTAAATCGTACCTTACTTAATACACAGCATACAGAAATCAATGAGGATAAAGTTGTAGAAACTTTGTTGTTACTCAGTTGTTACTCACCTGGGCCAATAGATGGGATTACTCTCGGTCCTCTTTTTTTGAATTCCAGTTCCCCCAAAGACAATCTGAGCATTTGCTTTGAGGTTAGACAGGTCCGAAATAGCGTTCTTGCCATGTTTTTGCACAACTGCCATTCAACGAGCGATATATTTTTTTTTTCAGCGACTATACCTACAGCCTGAAATCACCAGAAACGAAAAACAGGACCAACTTGATCTGGGCGATGGCTCATGTCTTTTGTGAAATAAACATTCCCAGACAAGCGACGAAACCTGAATTAATGGGCACGCAAAAGAGCGAAGGCGGGCGGTGTGAAATGTGTTAATGTTGTTGCCAGTCTTGGGTTTTCTTTCAGGGAGTGTTAATGATCCACGTGTCAGTTTCTCCAGCCACGCACCTCTTCCTGCCAGCAGATTCAATCAGGAAGTAAAAGCATTGAGGCTCTCTCGAAACGCCGAGGTGTTCTTCCGAAAGCGCCGCACTGTGCTGCTTTCTCGCCCTGTATCACAGGAATCCTGTAGCTCAGGCTGAAACGTCCTTCACCATAATGACTGTGCAATGAGAAAGTGTCGTTCGCAATTCACGGTTTCGGGAGGAAAAAAAAAAGATCTCCGTAAGTGAAATCTTAGTCTTATGTCTAAACTAAAAGAAGCCAAACCGGCCTGCCTATATGTTTTCCCGGATGGATAATAAATTAATTTCTCGAGGTTATAATTTTTTTATAATTACGGATTGTCTGCTGCGAGTATTGCAGTATCAGACAAATCAATACATATAGAGGAGATGTCCCCCGTTTTCTTTTAATTCCAAGGAAAAATATTGTGTACAGGTCTAAATGTGGTAACTGCAGACCTGCAAAGTCCGTCTGTCATAACTCGGCTCCTTTTGATATCCAGGTGAAACACGCATCAGGCGTGTAGAACAGATGTTTTCTGTGTTTTGTGCGGATTTATTCGTGTTTGGTCGAACAATTTACAAAATGGGTGAGCACGGTTCATCTACATGTAAATCCGTAAATTACTAATTAGTAAAACGTCACTGGGAATGGTTGGCAGTACTTTTCCCTTCATGCAAAACCCAACAACTCATGTGCAGTGATTTTAAAAACAGGTGTTCGCCTCCATGTCTATGGTGTAAAATAATGGGCGAATGATTTTTGATATCGTATTCTTTTAAGTTAATGTAAGATTAAATCATCATGTACTAATCTCATATAGCAAGCACGTTTTTAAAATTTTATGGTGACGACAGCAGGCTTCCTTCTCTTCCAGAATTCCTCATCCCTGGAGAGCATCCGTCTTGATTGTCTTGGACCTTACCGTTTCTGAATAGTAAGGAACGCAGTAAGCTATTGATGAAATTAACAACTATTCGGTTTAAATAAACGGACACTTAACAACCTGCTTTATTGGTCATATTGTCTAAAAATATGATCACATCTGAAATTTAAAAAAAGTGTTAAAACTACATATGCTAAATGAGTAAACATTTATTAAGCAGGTGGGTGCCACAGTAAACAAAACTGCTCAATTTACTGTGGGAACAGAACTGTTTTCACATTGGGACAGATACTGTAACTGTTTTAATCATTGAATTGAAAGTAGTCCTTTTATTGTTTGGTCTAATTTACTGTTTTTTTTTTGTGTGTTTTTTAAGAGAGACATTTTTTAATTTTCTTGAATTTCCAGTTCAAATCAAAAGTATTTGCAAACAACGCATTCGTTTTTCTCTGATTTGGCCTGCTTAGATTTATGCTTACACTGCTGTAGACATACACAGAAACACACTTTCAGACCCAATGCAAACCTTACCACTTTAAGGATGATGTGGCCATGATCTTCCAGTAGAAAACTATGGAGCTTATGTGCATTTTCTGTTTCATATGTTCTGTGTATGAAATGATAAAATGTTTCACTGCATTTGTGATATAAAATGCATCATATTGGTGTGTCTGTGCAAACATTGCATTTGAGTACCTGCAGACCACATGGTTCTGTCAATTTTAATAGCAGTGCATACATGTAAAGATTAGAAATTGTGGCTGCACGTGTTGCTGGCAGCAACATCAAGATATGAAGTCTCTAGCTCATTTAGGGCCTGCCCAGCCTTTGTCACTTCATTCTAGCACAACTGACAAACAGGAAGCATCTATGATTAAGAAGATCAATGATCTATGATCAACACAGACACAGCCAAGAATGTTTCAGCCCAACAACAGGATTTTCAGATTATACCGGGTAGGCACCACGTTTTTCATTGTATCCCCACTGTATGGCTGCTAAGAACCGAACATCATGGAAAAGACCTATAAACACGATTTTAGTTATGAGAAAGATCAAATGTTCTCGTTAGAACCTTGTTTATATGAAATATAAGTCAAGAACCTAACTGTACTGTCTTGATTACATTGAATATAGGATTACAGTTCCCAAGCCCAGGTACTTTTATATGGATACACCCCTTGTTCCACAAAGTTTGTAAAGGTTAGGGATTTTTCACCTAAACATACACTTGATCGGGTTTCAGCAATATAATGTAAATGTTTTTAGTTTACTATTAATGAATCAGTTTTGTTTTTTTCTTTTAATACTGTTGAAAAATAGTATAGTCATCTTTTATAGTTAGGTAATAGTGACTACATGTAATAAGTGTGGCATTTTTCTACTATCCAATTACAACTGAACATGAGGTACAGTATCTTAAAACATATTAGTAAAATGTTAACGATAGGGTGTCAAAAAGTGAGATTAAATTCACCACTCTTGGTTCACTTGTTTCAAAAGAATCATTTATTTAACATTTTTAAACCCGATTGCAAAAACCTTTGTTACTTAGTGGGATGATTATATTCTCTGTAATCACAATCTGTTTCTATACAATAAAATCTATGATGAAATGAACAGTGATTTCCTGCAATATAGAAAGTATTACAATGCATTGACAACTTATGAACATTTATTGGGCATAAGTTTCCCTAGTACCCTTTTATAACAAATATTACAAAAAGAGACAACCGTGCATGCTTATGTTCAGCAAAAAGCAAACAAGTAATAAAAATTATTTTGAGTTAAATTAATGGCAATGTTTTTATGCCTTACCTTTAGTAGTTCACAGCTCATTAAGATTGCTTATTTTAATAAACTATTAACAGTTCTGACTAAAGTCGACAGATTACTGCCATTCATGTATTACATGAGATGTGATCTTACCAGGCAGAGCGTTTCAATTTTAAAAGATTCATCCAATCCCTTATTTAGGGGCCTAATTTAGGCTTAAAATACATGTATACTGTATGTACACACCCTCATCTCCATACTCCATAATTTGATAAAGTATATTGGCTTTTAAACCACGTATTTAAAAAAGCAATGTTCAACAAAACAAAAGAGTGGTTTATAAAGGATAACATCTTTCCTTAACTTTAATGTGCAGTTAAAGTTTCAACTGTTGAATTTCAGTGTCTGAAAATGTAGTTTTTGGCCTAGTATCTGGTATATCACTTTTAAATTCAACAATCTAGTTTGCACAATCAATTTATTAAGTTCGGTCATAAGCAAAAATAATAATATATGGTCCAGTCACAGACTGATTATAAATAAGAGGAAAAGCATAGGTGTCCTTTTAGTCCCTATAGTTCACACACACCAGTCTGCAGTTTACTTGGGATCTTCAATTGTTCCCTTGCTGAGGTCAGTCATTTTCGGGTATTTCACTTTCTTCTGGTCTAGTTCATTTTGAGCCCATAGTAGCAACTTCAGCAGTTTTGCAAGTTTTGGTGTTGACTCCCGGTTTTCATAATCTAACACAGCCTGATTTACTTCGCTCCACACCTCCAAGGAAAAAGACACAAAAACATGTCAAGTTTAAAAATTACAAGAACTCGGTTACTTACCCCACTGAAATCCAGCCGAGAACCTTTATGTGGAGTAAGGGGTACATCCCAATTCCCCCCTCAACATTATAAATTGAAGTACACAGATTACAAACACAGTAACCAACACTCAACTTTATAACAGAGTAGTGGAAGAAGCCCCAATTCAAACTCACACTTCTGCATTTGCTTATGGTTTATCACAATGCAAGCGTGAACTCACAGCTCAGAAGGCAAGGCGGGGTGGGTAGATGTAGACATGTCCTCTTACCTTCTGGCGCTGCATCATGTTCAGCAGGTCCCCGAAAGGCGAGTCCTCTGGGTTGTCAAAGGCGAGCAATGCCAGAGTGCGCTCCATCTCTGTCAGGCACTCCCGGCTCTCCTCGCCCTGCTCCGCCAGCTGCGTCTGCGCAAACTCCAGCGCTGCCTCTGTCTCCCGCTGGCGGATCAGCTCGATCAGGTGCTGTTGCTGGGAATTCGCGGGAGGTCAACGCTAAATGTTACGTTCAATTCCAAGTTACCCCCAGTGATTGCTGTACAGCTGGTGAATCCACTTTTGAACGGCCAGAATTTGTGGATTTTCAGAAAACTTTACTCGGCGTGTTATGATCAATCACCAAAATGCCTCGACTACAAAAATGTACAGTAGTGATGTTGTAATCAATTTATATTAAAATTTAACATGAATCCCGTACTCACAAGCATCTTGTTAAAAACTTCCCAAGAAGAATGTAAAATTGCTTTTTCAAATTACACAACATACACAACACGTATGTTTAAGTCTTACATATCCCTTTTTGACTACTTTTAAATTGTTAAAAAGGATCTGAGTATCACACCATACTGCTCCAAAAAGATTGACTTTTTAATGAACAAATGTCAAGCGCTGCAACAAATTATTCTGGTTCGACCCATTTTGAAAACCTTACTCCTAATAGTCAGTGTTGGGCAGTTTTACCTGCAGATGAAAGTAGAGATAGCGATTTGTGTCTAAAAGTTCTGGGTGAAGGCTGTTAATGAGTGCAATAGCTTCTTGAATTTGCCCTTTGAGAATCATCTCCCGAATCTTTATCCGCTCGTCCAAGGAGTCCAAATCTATGCTTGGCTCAATTCCAGATTCCATTCGGAACTTCTCTGCTGCTTCCTTAAACCCTTCTACAAAATGGGAAAAAAACATGATTTAGATTTCCACAGCATAAGGAACCTACCTGAACGTTTCAGCATACTAGGCAAGAAAGGTCAACATGCACAATCTATACAGTACACAAATAACTAACCTGGTAAGGAATTAGACTTCTTTATCTAAATATTTCCATTTGGACATTGCAGTTCTGCTTTTCTTTTACATACAACAATAAAAGTAAAGTGTCTTGTTAAGTTACCTAACATTTACCTTGAATGTCCAAAACAAGGAGAAAATAAGATTGCATAAAGATAAATATGACATTTAGCAAGGCACAGATATGATAACTTCATGGTAGAGTAACATGTATCCAAATGACTTACTGTATACACGTTTATTTTCTAAACATTGGTTAATAATTCTCAACAAACTGAAACATTTACCTGTTACTAAATAATTCATGATTAGTCGATTCATGTCCGCTCTCTGAATGTGTACATTATTGAGTTTGTCCATCCACTCATCTTTAGTTATATCCTCTGGCTTTTCTGCATAACTCATCATGAATACGCTGAAAAACTGAAAAAGTTGTATTATTAAACAAATGAAACACTTTGCGTCTACAACAATATGCAAGGTAATACAATTGTGCACAAAAATCTATATTTCGGATTGAGATCATGCAAAATATGAAGTTTGCAAACATCCCCCCCAACAAACACGATTGGTAATCACAGTAGCGTCAATTGGAAATAAATTGATGCAGGTCCACATTGTTGAACACAAACGTTGATCCGGATTTAAACGCGCTCACACTCAAACTGCTTTAGTTGCGACCCTTTTGATAGTGGTATTCCCGAGTTGAGACAGTAAACGCAAACTTTTCAGGGATTCGGTAAAACTGTACACCACCAGTCAAGGAAGGACAGCCGACGAGTAGGACTGTTAGGGTTGGTAAATCGGAAAGCTGCTATCATGAAACGTACCATCAAAATATCCGAAAACAGCTCGTCTTGGAGAAGGAAAAAACGGCCCAGCTTAGGACCGGGAGCTTACGCGACATAAACATAATGCGACATCTCTCTTGATTGGAAAGCAAATTCTCTCCTTGCAACAACAACGGGACAATCAAAAATGCCAAGCACTCAAAACATTGGGGCCTTAGACAAGAGGGAAAACATTGGAGCCTTCAGCATCACACAAAACAACGCCGCAGAGCGTCTGACTTCAACCGAGCTCGAAACACCCGGGCATGAGCGACAGACAAACGCGGAATGTACGCCTGTTCTCGGTGCACACATCTGTCCCCGGCTCCTTTTTCCCCGAACAGTAAAACAAGTTAATTAAATTGATACCTGTAATATGCTGCTCTTCCTCCGCAGCTGTGAGAGCAGGGCCACAGGGAAAACACGCGAGAACTGGTCTCCTCTCCCTCCCCCTCGAACGAGACTTCACTGACGCCCTCGTGCGATTCGTCAGCTGGAGCAACACATCGTGACGCCATGTTTATTTATTAATCTGTCGGGCCGTTGTACATTTTCAGTTTTTTTTTATAACGTAGTGGTTATAGATTTTGAAAGTTTTCGTCATACCGGTTGAGGTGCATATTCAAAAGGTTGAGGGTAAACGTATAAAGAAAAAAAAACGTTTTTTAGGCAAAAATAATTTCCAACTGGGTAGTTTTGAACTAGTTTCTATCCGTATTTATACCCCAGAGATGAAGGTATACTCTCCGGGTTACACCGATTATTGAAGTCCATAGTATTGTCTATCACACAATTTAAAACAATATCAACCATTATTTTTAGTTTCAGTTTTGTATTTTAACATTTCATGATATTTAGCGACCACAAACTTGTTGTTATGATGAATATTAAGTTTAAGGAAGCTGCAGTCTTAAAGATTTTAAATGCGTATTGCATTGCTTTCTGATACATAAAACTCCGCGTTCGTGTGTAATGTGTGCGCGCTTTTGACCGCCTTCAGTCCTTACACCGCCCACTTTTACATCCTCGGCAACGCGCACGCTAATGCGCGAACGGGCACGGAGAGAGCTGCTGCAGCCGCCTGTGTGTGCATTTTGGAGATGCGATCGTAATAAATAGCATTGACTAAGGTAGATACCGAATACACTAATACAGCCCACCGAGACCGAGAAAAAAAAGGTAAGAAAAGGCGCCGGTTGTCTCATGCAATGCCACTGAACCTTATTAATTTATTATATTAGTCTATTCACTGTCCTTGGATTAATGCTGACTGTGGGTTTGCCTAGTAGTATATAGTAACCAATATGGATGCTGCCGCTGTTTTTGATGCAGCACTGAGATTAGCAGTTTTAAATCCGGCCTGTCAACCGATGCAGAAGAATCCGAGTAATCCGTCTGACAGGTTTTCAGTTTTACTCTGTCTTTTCCTTTTTTTCCCACACCACAATAACACACTTTTAGTTGTTCTGTTACTGATCTTAATTATGTTGGGAATCTAGAAACCTCCATTGTGCCGATGTTACAATAAATCAGCGAGTCATTCACTATTCACCATTCACTTTAACGTGAATAATGTTATTGCTTGAATGCTTCAGTGACTGTCAGAATGTGTCAATTTCAACGATCATTAATCTGTGATTCCGGTGTGTTTCTGATTGTATTAAAAGCAGTGTATTTTTTATTGCTGAAATGCCAGACGTGGGCAATGGCAATATTCTACTTAATCCTAGGCTATGTATTCCATTTATCACTGTAAATATATGTATATTGTATATTTAAGTGAGTTTAAAGCTGAAGAATACAGTTCTTATACATTTAATTTCATAAATGTATATTTAAAGTAAACCCAAATGGGTCTCAGTCTATCTAACCAGCTGTCTCAGGGGAGAATCACTGATGCTTGTGGAATTTTAGTTAACAGTGAGTTAGTGGTCAATCCCTGATCTGATGTCCGCTTTTTAAATCCAGCCTTCCAGTAATTCATTTTCCCATCAAGAGAACACAATTTTATTTACCAAAGACTCATTTATCACCCATAGTGAAATGATACGATTTATGAGGCTTTATGCATGTTTTTGGCAACAGTAGGACTCTGCCAGGTTGAACTCGGAGCATTTGCATTAAAATTATAGTTCTGTAGTCACTTCAAATAAAGAATTGTAAAAATTACATTGATTCCATGTGCTGTAATTAAGGACGTTTAGCAGGGAGCCATTTTTTAAGCAAGGCTAACCTCTATCTTGAGTACTCATTGGCTGCTGAATTACGAGATATCCTGCGGGGGGTGGGGTGGGGAATTCAATTCAGACATTCAAATAAAGTTTAAATACTTCTTAAAAATGGTTTAAATGGCTTGTCTATTTATAATGGTAAAACTAAAGTCATCGTTAATTTCATCCATGGTTCATCCTGAACTACTTAATGAATTAGTAGCAAATATGTATCCATGGATGAAATTAATGAAAAATACTTTTTTTAATAAACATTTGCAGAATGAATGGGTCTTTAAATGAGCTTTATGGAATAGGATAGTCCTTTTTAATGAAGCTTTTTATTAGCACCTTTCCTCCAGTGAGCCAATAATGTTTTACCACCCTGAAAACAACACCACTATTGCTGGTGTCAGAATGAGTCACTGCAGGTCTCAAGATTTGTATGAGAAGGGCGGGCTGAAGATATGACTTCAGTTACAATCAAAGACTGCTTCAGATATTAATTGTGCTGTTATTGTGTAGGCTCATGCACTGCTGAAAAGCACTTCAGAATCCTTAGTATCTTCATAAATGGAAGATACATGAATGTTAGAGCCATTTATTCAGTGATAAGATGGTATGCCTTTGTTTTTTAATTAAGCACCATTTCAGATGCATTCCACAAAGTCATTTAATTACACCATTTTAATAGCCATTTTATTTTATTTGAAAATCAGCAACTCATGGTACACTAAATGAATCTCTAGGAGAAAAGTGATATCAGAGGACTAAAATGGGTACAGATCTTACGAAGGAGAAATTAAATAAATCTAACTCTAAACTCAGATTACTTAAGCCTTATTCCGTTTCCTAGCCCTTCCATGTTAATGTTTCTAAAATAAACATTTCAGTTTTGAAAGATGATATAGGGCGTAGGTTGTGATCTCCATCTCTTACTTGGTGCTGGAAAAAAAAGTTGTGTATGTGGGATTTCTGATTGGTCATCAGTACATTTTCAGTGGATTTCATTTAACCATTGATGAATAAGTGACAAGTAATAGGTTTATTCCATGCTGAAAAGAGAAGAAAGAAAACACAATGTTTCAGCCGTGGAGCCTTCTTCAGGTGAATTGCTCACACCTGAAGAAGGCTCCATGGCCAAAACGTTGTGTTTTCTTTCTTCTCTTTTCAGCATGGAATAAACCTATTACTTGTTCCTTAGCAGCCTACGCAGCTACCCACCTGAACTACTTAATGAATTAGTAGCAAATATGTAGCTCTGTACCATTGAAATAGATCTCTCAAATTTCCATGCACATTTTCTTATTACCTTCAAACATAATTTAGTGTTTGTTTCCTTGTTCGAAGCCATGATAATTCAATACTACCTTCTGGCACTTTTCCCTGCCCCATGTGGAGTACTGAGAATGAAACCAAGGTGGAAGTTCCCAGTATCATGTGATCGGTGACATGATCACATGATCGATCACATGGTAGAGGTATGAAGTAGTTTCACTTTGTGCTGGGACTAACTTATATTTACTTTATTTCATAAAGTAGACAAAAATGTTTCATTCATTTTATTTCAATTTCCCTACTCTGCTTGCATTTTCTTGTTTACTTGCTGTCAGTTAATTTTACGCTACAGCCTATTTTCTGTAGTTCTGGAGAAGAATGAGGAATTGAATCATGTCAAACTGCAATTGAAGTTCAAATTATAGAATATAAATAGGTTTTATAATTGAAGTTTTCTATGTTTTTTTTTTTCTTTTACACTGAAGAATTTGATTGGTACAAATTTTACCTTTGATTTTTTCTGCCTAATCTTTACAGAACTCCAGTCATTTTAATATAGTATAGAGTTTGATTACAGGTATATACCTACCTTTAATAATCTTAGGTTGTTTAGCTCCTGGTTGATACATTGCAGATTCCTTTTTTGTTGTGAATGCAGTTTGCAGTGCATCCCACAGCAAATGCACTTTCAGAAAAGCAGAATTGATGCTTGCCTCCATTAGCTAATTAATTAAAGTGATTTGGGTGCTATTAAATCTCATGCAGTCCTTTATAGTCCTTTTGGTGTCTGTGATCAATTAATGTACCAGAAGCTTGATACTGGGGTGACACAAGTTGGGCTTTGTGGTACTAGAAAATAATATTCAGTGCTCTCTCTTTGGGGAGTTATGACAGTTATCTGACTCAGGGTATAACATGCTTTTTTGTTGTGACTATGGCATCATATAGTAACATGATGGTTGTTAGACTGATGCCAAGCTGGATTTGGGTTAAGACTTTTTATGTGACTAGCAGAATGATCCTTAGAGAAAGGGAGTACTATAAAGAAGTACTAATTCCAGCTGAATTAGAGATTTCCTCATGAGTGAGTTTTCGATCTACCCTGAGTGCAGACTCAGGTAAGGTAACAGACCTTTCCAGTTGCCTTAATGCAATAAGCAGATTTTGTTAAAGTGTGTACGTCAGTATGAAGGCATCAGCACTAGAAGAAATGTAACTTTGGGGAACAAAATGAAAATCCAGTATGTGTTCAATCATGTTTTATTTTTTTGGAAGAAAATGAATCCATGAAGTTATTATTCTCCACATGCTTGCACATTTGTTCTCTTTGTGTTCCCCCCCTCTGATAAAATCTCTCGGGCATATTTCGAGTGTTCAGCTGTCATCTGAGGATCTCTACAGACAGGTGACCAAATCTCTGCTTAGCCTGGGATTTTCTTTCTCCTTTGGAAACCATAGGGGAAAAAGTGAAATATGAAGAGCACTGCGTGCTTTTAAGTTCTTGTCTCAGCTAAAGCATTTCTTTCTCCATGGAGTTTTGGTTTATTAAGATAGCTTGTGTGATGCACATAGTACTGACTAACTACTTAGTCAAGAGAGTTTTGCTCCTTAGTAGAATGGGTTACTAATTTGTGGAACATTTTTTTAGTGACTGTGCTAAGAAAAGCTTGAAGTAAAATAGACATGGAAAACAAAAGGAAGGTGAAGATCAGTATGCATTGGAGTTTTGTCTTATTGAACTACTAGTTATGCAGGAAGCTGTTGCTGGGAATTGCACCATACAGTGCCATTGTGGAAGGTGTAAACATGAAATGCAGTTTTCTGTCAGGAAATGAATAACAAAAATAAGGATCAAATAAAAATGGAGCTTGAAGTGGAAATATTCCAAAATGAGGTGGTTCTGCATGTGCACGCTCTTCCTTTTCTGCTAAACATATTGTGCTCAGTTTAGCCTGCAATGCTAATGCTAGCTAGCAATGCATTGCAATGCAATGCAAGCCTGCAAGTTAGCCTGCAGAGAGAGTTCAAATTAACTAACTCAACCTAGCACTAAAACGCACTGAAAGAGAATTTAAAGGAAACGGATGTTAGGTATTAAATGTTTTTTTGTCACTGAAAAGCATTAGTGCACCTGTATGGAGAGTGAAAGCAGCTGTATGTACAGTACCTGTAGGGCATAATGAAGTTATCATATTACAGTGTATTGATTGAAATTGAGGGTAACCTACAGTTTAACTAGAGGGTTAATAGGTTTTAGTGGAAACACTTTCATTCAAGACCAACATGTTGAAGTCTGTAATTCCGGTTTTTATAGTAAGCATTTACTCGTACCATAATGCTTATTTTATGACTGCTTGTGATAGGAGAATAGATCATTCATACAAGACAATACTTTAGCTAATGTTATAGATTAAGTATAACTGGTGTAGTTTTCAGTTTACCCATCAATAAGGCCTGGATTTTTAGAGCTGTTGCATTTATTGGTATGTTTCTTTAATATTGTAAATCCCTGATCAGTTGGGATTAATTGGGACTGACATTTTTGTATGAAAATGTGCAGAATTAGGAGCCTCATATAATGTTATTATTAAAATGCAATGTTAAATTATACTGCAGGTGTATGTTCTTTATGCTGTGATCACCACTTAGTGATTAAGTCAAATGAGAGAACAACAGACTCAAACATTGCC